GGGGGGGGGGGGGGGGGGGGGGGGGGGGGGGGGGGGGGGGGGGGGGGGGGGGGGGGGGGGGGGGGGGGGGGGGGGGGGGGGGGGGGGGGGGATGCACTCGGCTACAGTACATAGTGCACAGCCCGCCCCCGTTCCCCCCCCCCAACAAAGCATGAAAAAGCATCAGTCCCGATGTGAGGAGCAGGGCGTACCCACTCGAGACCACTGGCTACGAGAGCAACCAAGCACAGAATCGATGGGAGGAGTCAGCTGTGTGGCGGATTGTGGACCTCCCCTAGGCGAGAAGCATCGATGTGGCCGTGGTGTACGTGGCTGCTGTGAACATGTTCAGCTACGGCAGCAGTAGTCATGGTGCGGGCAGCGTGCTCGATGGGTCACGTGTGTCTTGTCGACGCAACGACTTGCGGTTTCCTTGAGCACGGAAACGGTGGGGTAGCCGTCGATGATGCATATCCTCGGATATACAAATAGGATGTTGAAAACAATAAAATAAAAAAACACACACATAGCACTTGCCTTTCACCCGCATTGAGACCGACGTCTTTGCATTGATCAGCCGGTTAGTGTGGCCGATGTTACTGTTAAAGACACACACATGGGCCTTGACTTGTACCCGCTGGCACCGACGTGTTTTCATGGCCAACGGGAAAGTGGTTGATGCTTACACTAAAAACAAACAAACACACAAAAAACACACAAAACAACAAAGCACAACCTCACCCTTGTTCTATGCGTTTAACAAACGACCTCAAACGTAAGAAAAAAAAATGCATGTTGAAAAAAAAACAAAGAACTCACGGGGTTCTCGCGGCGCAGCTTGCGGGGGCGCGGAGGGTCTATCCCACTGAGTGACCTTCGTGTTGTGGTTGACGTAGAACACCTCGCCTGCGTTGGTCATCTTCTGGCTCCACCCTTCAATAGGAAACCATCAACACAGACAGATGGACAACAAAAAGCACCTCGTTGCAGCGGCGGGTCTTCTTCAAACGGTACTGCAACCAGATCGTGACTTGTTGCACATTACATACGCAAAACAGACACAACAAGCACATATACATGATAGGTTGCAGCGGCGGAGCTTGTACAAACGATCCTGCCGCCCTTAGATAAATCTTGATATTTTGCATGTTGCACGTGTACACGACGTTCTTCCCCCCCAAAAAAGAGAGGGGCGTTCCCGGGCGGCGGCATCAGGGCACCAATCGAAGACAATAAACAACAAAGCACACCCGTTTTTTCTTTCAAAACAAACACAACTTCATCTCTACCCACACATGAAGAGGCTTAGTAGGGTTAGGGTCAGCAGCATTGGGTCGATGCTAGCTAGATATAAAACACATTACGTCGCGCGCCCCGCGGAGGCGAGGCCGACACCGACACACACGATGAAAAAAATGCGTGACACACACAAACGACCGATTAGGTGTGCGACACAAAGGATACGCAAGCAGGAAACAAGCAAGACACAGGCACACATAACAACAAAAACTTGTGCCGACCACAAAAGAAAAACGCGTGACATTTTCACAAGTAACAACGTGCGACACAAACAAGACAAGAATACTTGTAATAAAGAAAATTCTAAGAAACTTGCCAGGAGGAAGAGGGGGCTCCGCATCGGCGGGCGGGGGTAGGCGCGGCTCCTCCCGACTCACAGAAGAAGTGGCTGGGCGAAAGAGAGGCAAAGAAAAAAAAAATGTGGTTGTCCGAAAAAAACGAAAACAACATTGAGAGCGGCGCAAAAAAGTCCACGAGAAAACAGACCACGGCAAACAGTTCTTGTGAGCACGCGGTAAGCAGGCTTGTCCCCACCAGGGGGGGGCGGGAAGTTGATACCGCTGGTGGCCGCAAGGGTTGTTGCACATTCCTGCTCGGCGATGTTTTTCTTTCATGTCCCTGTGAACTCTACAGTATTCGTTCCTGCGAGCTCTACATAGCCGGTCGTGCTCCTGTGTTGAGTGTCCATCTTTTTCTGAACACCTCTGCGAACTCTACTCGCTCCTGCGAATTGCACCAGACTGGTAAATACATCTGTCGCCCCTTGTTGATTTTTGGAATTTACCGCCTATCCCCGTGACGTGAACGGTGTCACCCATGCAAGACAGCAACTGAGAACCGCTCAAAGCTTTCCTTTGCGTGACCCGCGCCTATACGCCTCGGCACGCCTGCGCTAGGGAGGGATCAGCTACGGGCGCTACTGTAAGCCCAAACACACTTACGTATGGGCGCTGCTACAAGCAAAAGAACACTCACACCCGTAGCTGTCCACCCTTTGCTCGTACTGCGGCAAGGGCGACGGCGCCGCGGGTTGAGGGGAGGCCACAGGGGCAGGGGCGGGGGCAGGCCTCTTCCACGTTGTGGTCTTGGTGGCGTGGTTCTCATAGTACGTGGCGCCGGAGGAGGTAGTCTTCTCGCTCCACCCTGACGCACACACAAACAAACAAACAAAAAAGCGGGGTAAGATTATGGACGTGCGCAGGTCGGTTATGCCACACAACAGCAGCGGCGGTTTGGTGGCGGTTTCTCGCTTTTGTAATGTCCCCACGGGTTTTCGTCGCTTGGCAACGACGTTGTCAAACAAGCCGCCCCCCCCGGTGTTTGCCATCGGGGTTGGGTTTTCGTCGCTTGGCAACGA